GCCGTTGTGTCGTCTACTGACCTTCCTCGAGAGGATGCTACTAGATTCCGCTTGGTGGCATGACAGTTTATGGGCATGGCGAACGGGACCCTATGTACACTATGCCGTTTCTGCTCAGTGCGCCTATCTATACACAAACTGTGCACGTAAACTGAGCCCATGAGAATTTATTCATTTGTTTGTTAATAGTATATCGCTTGAAGTCGAACAACTGGGTGAAACAGTGGTATCTTGTCTGTTCTGCTGATGTAGAAAGATATTCTTAATTGCTCAATAGCAAGAAGTTGATTCATGGGCCAATTTTGTTTTATTTGACTAGAACTTTAATGCTAATAATAAAAGGAATGACTAATTTTGGCTACTTTTAACTACCATTCCGACCGATGAAGAAAAGATAATGTGGTTGCTAGACCCAGGTTAGCTAATATCGGGCTTGAGATCATTGCATACCAGAGTGAACCACCCCGGTTTGCAGCATGAGTTCTGTGCGTAAAGAGTAAAATTTATGATTAAAATAAGGTCGAATTGTATGAATGACGTTGTTGTATGTTTTGTATAATGTATAAAATGCAGGTGTTCGTGGTGTCCTGGCTTTCTTTTTGAACCTTTGTTTGCACGCCCTGTCTGTTTTACAATGTGTAATGTACGTAATTTTTGCAAGGCGGCATTTCAACGTCCTCAGATATTTGCGCTAACGTTCAAAATTTCAGAAAACAAAAACGAAATATGAAGTTCTGCAAGCTTTTGCATTATTAATTTTTACATATTTTTAGAAGTTGTCAATTCTTTCAACTGTCTTTCCTAGATTTTGTTTTTCTTCTCTCGTGCTTTCTTTTCTCTTTTTCTTTCTCTCTTTCAATGTATGCCATGGTAGACAGGGTACTTATATCAACAACAACAATAATAATAATAATAATAATAATATATAATAATAATATAATAATAATAATAATAATAATATAATAATAATAATATAATAATAATAATAATAATAATACCTTTTATTTCTTCAAATTAAACAGTACATGTGACTAGGCCTGCCAAAGCCTATGGTGGCTTGAGTGGCAGATCCTGGCTGGCAGCAAAACAAACCGGACGCGTTACAAGATTGTATTTCATGGCCTAAGAGGGATGATAAGACAAAAACAACGTGCATATAAGATTAGAAACAACAGGGCATACAAGCAATAGTTATGAGCATTATACAATAGTTACAGCAATTGAAATTGAAAAGGTATAAAGGAAAAAAGAACAGAATTATAGCAAATGCTCCTTAAGCAAAGTTCCACATGGATGATTGTGCAGCATCTTGCTTGCGAATGAGTGTATACGAAATAACACGACATGCATTTTAATTGTAGACAGATACGCCGAAGCAGTTTTTTTAATTTGCATTTCATATTTGTGCGAAAAATGGGGTAGTACATTGAAATAGGTTGGGACATCATGGGCTCGTATTTTAGTTCCATACTTTGTTGCACACCGCGGCCTCCAGTAACGTACTTTGGCCCTTAAAGAACGAGAATTAACACACGAAACCAGAAATTCTTGGGACCAGAAATGTTTTTACACAACCGTTTGAACTAACAGATAATTGAAGTTTGGCTTAAACAGCGTTCTGATAATGTCTCTCTCAGAATTCATGTTCAGGTCGTAAGATATATTTTTTTCAAAATTGAACGCAATATTTTCTTTATTCTATTGTTCCATCGGACAGCACAGTGTCCGTAAATGGTTATTCCGTAACGCAGTATACTGTAACCTAAAGCGTGTGATATCATCTTACGCACTGAAAACTGCTTGTTGTTTTTTATGTTATATAATAAACATGACACAGCACGAAGTTTTTTGCAAACATAGGCGAGATGACTATTCCAGGAAAGGTCTTTGTCAATGTATAAGCCAAGGTATTTCACAACAGACTGTAATGGCCTACAAGCAGGATGAACAGTCAGAACACTGCAAAATGAAAGGATAGTCAAGGGTTACTTTCTTCAATGAATTATGGAGGCAGATTAGAGTAGTTTTAGACACATTTATATTAATAAGATTATCTCGAAACCAATCCATGTCTTTTGTGGCAGCTGACTGAAGAAGAGTAATCGCCTCATAAAAGTTGTTTGCAGTCGTCACGATCACAGTGTCGTCGGCGTATTGATATAGAGAAATCGGTATCGCGCTGTGAAGGTCATTTACAAAAATATTGAACAGCAGCGGACTAAGAATTGATCCCTGTGGAACAAGGGCAACGCTATCTTCTAATCATCATACTAATCACTAAAGAAAGTTGGATAACACTACATCAAAATGTGCACTGTATCGTGGTCCGAGCTGGAGCAACATTGTTGCTGTTGGGCAGGAGGCAGTGCTTCAGACATAATGGAAGATGTCACAGCTGTTGTGGAGGCGAACAACGCAGCCCTCCCCATGTTTGTTTCTACATGCGTGAGTGCAGGTATACACAAGAGAAACACAATAGAGAGCATATATGTTAGGATATAGGAGGCGTCTTTGTTTTAGTCAGCTTTGCCATGACAGCAGGTGCAGATGCGGTTGCGGTCGACAATCTGGAATTAACTGTTTCGTTGGTTGTGGCGGAGTGACAGACGTGGGTGAAAAACAATAGCTTCCTCCTTCGAGGTAGAAGAGGTTTCGGTTACGCCTAATATACTAATGTACTTAAGGGTCAATAATATGGAAATAGAACAAAGCACGTTCGTCATTACACTATGGTGCATGGCTTGTCACGGTAAATAAATGCCACAGCGTTGCACTGCGCAACTTCAAATAATGCGCCTCTGTTTGCGGAATTATGACGAGCGTTTATCATACTCTTTTTTTTTCCGCTATGTGCGTGAATGCATGCAGTTGCTTTTAATAGCTGGACAGTGCGCCAGTGAGCGTGCTGTCCCCGGCTATTCCTTCAAGCAGAGCTACCACTGACAGGCGTCGTATGAAGCAAAGCAAATAAAAGCAAAGCGATATAAAAGCAAAGCAATAAAGGGTCAAAGCGTCCACGTAGGGGTAAGGACTTTCCAAGACTTCATAAAATGGCAGCCTGCTATGTTTACCTGCTTCGAAACTGTCAACCTTTAACATCTAATAGCGATAGCGATTCGCACGTGCATATATAAGGATATGTATAATCGTGTTGGCCTGCTTCAAAGGACACGTTTGGTTTAAATGCAATTCAAGCATTGCCTTTGTATTTCCTTTGTTAGGAAAGTTTGAAGTACCAGGTGGTTCCCAACAAAAAAAAAGTGTTCCGGGAAATCTTATTACTTTTTAAATACGAAGCATTTCTTAGCGAACTTTGGCGACATTACGCGTATCTATCTATCTATCTATCTATCTATCTATCAATCTATCTATCTATCTATCTATCTATCTATCTATCTATCTATCTATCTATCTATCTATCTATCTATCTATCTATCTTGCCGCCTTTCACCTTTAGCTCTCCTGGCCGTTTTTATAGTCGTATCAATACCAAACTCGCTATGGCATAACATGACTGTATGAAAAACATATTTGACTAGTCGTAACATGAAAATCATGACATAGATGTCATCAATGTCGTGAATTACATTTCATGGTTCTGCTGCTTTTGCGGTGTTTTGTTCACATGACATGTTGCAAAGCTGGTATGGTATGACATAATTGCATGGTGAACACAAGCGACAGACCCTAACACGAAAATTGTGACATGCGTGCGATGTAACAACATGACTACATGCCCAGCTCACGATACGCTCGTGGGCGTTTTGCTAGCGTCACATATACCAAATTTAGTATTACGGTATGTGAATGGATCACGAATGTGTAAGGATCACGAAGGAAACAACATGACTACATTCCACAGCCAAGGCGCCAATACATTTCGACGTGACGCGGTGCGCGTGCTTTCCGGCGTCCTTTTCATCGGGTCGCGCCGGCGTTGCCACGCCAGGCACCGGTCCTGCCATATACTCGCAGGCAGGCACCGCGCTGCGTTGCTTTAGGCCATGAGCGTTTCAGCGCGTCTGGGTAACACTCGGTGCGAAATGCAGCATGTTGCATTTCGCACCGGTTGCCGTCGCGCCACGCTGACAGACGCTGGTCGTGCCGGTGGCACCTGGCGTCACACTATAGAGCGCTCGCGTTTTGCTAACGTAGCGTCACTGTGCCCAGAGTGCGCGCGCGTCAACGGTACATTGGAGTATATTGGGCCCTTCATGATGCATTCACGTACATTTTGCTAGCTCCACATTTAACAACTTTGGTGTTATTAGATTTGTCTTCGGGGGTAGAGAAGGATTGAGCTGGCATGCCCATACAATGTGGTAGGTGTCAGCCACCTCCGCACAGTATTGGCAGAGGCAGGAAAAGGAAGGGTCAAAGTGTTTAAGCACTGCCGGGCACAGTAAAGTATTGGTAGATAGCCGGAGCAGAATTCTCTTGTCCATCTTCCTAAGTCCTTTGCAGGGCGAAGGAAAGCAATGGTGCGAGTCCCGGTAATACGTAACTATCTCTCTATAAGTTAGGAGAAGAACGTTTTCTACTGAAACACATGGGTCATCGGTGGGCGAGGCAGTGGCCCGGGGAACGAGGGCGTGTGCGGCAGCGTGGGCCGGCTCATTGCCTGTGAGGCCCTAATGGCCAGGAGTCCAGATTATTGAACGCGGAGAGGGGTAGCCTACTCTCGGACAAGATTTAAGAATTTTGGCAGCTAGGGGTGTGATTCATCCTAGTTTAAAGTTTCGGCAAGCTCCTTTGGAGTCTGATAATATAATTCGAGAACTATCGTGCGCTATAGCCACAGCTATGGCCACCTCTTCAGCATCGGTAGCATTTGTTGCGCGGAAGGACAGACCATACACCTGCCTGTCTGTGTTGACCACGGTGGCCGTATAACAACCCCCGCAGTTAGGGCGCCGATGTCCGTGTAAAATACGTTTTGTTTAGAGCTGAATTGGTGCCGGATAGCAAGAGCCCGCGCCTCTAGACGGCCAGCGTGCGACTCACAGTATATTGGTGGGGAGGGGTCGAATATGAATCGCGTATTTCCAATGTTCGGGCACTCGTAGCCGCTCCTTTGCGTAGAATTCATGCCGAATGTGTAGGTGATCGAGGAGTCGTCTGACTGACGGGGTCTGCGCCAGACGCGTGTAATGAGTTTTTAGGTGAGCCTCCCGGAGCTCCCGATAGGTGTTTACCGCTCCCAACACATGAAGTTTTGCATTGGAACTAGTGATCGGGAAACCTAGGGCTCTCTTGACAATCTTGCGAAGGGTGACTTCCAAGGAATGTTCATCGTGCTTTCGTAAGTGAAGGTATCGAGTCGCATACAAGATGCGACTAGTGACAAAAGCATGTGCGAGACGAAGCGCATCCTTGCTTTTGAGACCTCCCCGCTTGTTGGAGACTCGGCGGACCATGCGGCCCACCTGTTCTCCAAGCTTACGCAGCTTGTGAAGTGTTGTCTTGACCCTGCGGTGTTTGTGAATGTGGAGTTCAAGGACATGAATCTCCTGTGCCTTATTAATAGATCCAGTATGCAGGGAAAGGTTGATGGACGAAGTGCACTTCACCGACGGCCGAAGCTGCATGAATTCGGACTTCTGTGGGGAACAGTGGAGGCCGCAGCACGCCGCATATTCGTCCACTATATGGGCTGCGGTGTGCAGGCTGTCCTCCATGCTGCCAAGGCATTCTTCTGTGGCCCACAGAGTGATGTCGTCGGCATAAAGCGCATGCTTTACCACGTCGACAGCAGCCAAGTGGCCCGGGAGCTGTGCCATAGCTAAGTTGAACAGCAGAGGCGACAGCACAGCGTCCTGTGGTGGGCCTCGCATGCCCAGTGGATAGGGGCCGTATTTCTGATCTTGGATGCGAATGTACACAACTCTGTCAGTAAGAAAGTTTCGGATGTATTTGAAGACGCGCTCGCCACACTTGGTGGCACTTAGGTGAGCTAAGGTGTCTTCGTGCTTGAAGTTATCGAAGGCTTCTTTAAGGTCAAGTGCTAGAATGATCTTGTCATTGTGGGGGAGTTCTACGGGATTAAGTACTTCGTGGTGTAGTTGTAGGAGTATGTCCTGCGAAGATTTCTTGGGCCTGAAGCCATACATATAATCGGCGAAAATGTGGCACTCTTCCAAGAAGGGAAGCACGATCCCTGACCACAGTTTCCATTAGCTTCCCCACAAGTTCTAAGGATAAAATTGTTTATTTAAATATTTGTATGCGTTACATTAAGCACCACTCTTTCTTAGGCTATCGGTAATCTCTCTGGTATACCTCCATTAGTACAAGTCTGAACAGTAATTTTTAAAACCACTCGATTCTTCTCCAATCCCCCATAGTGGGTATGCGCCAATATCAATAGGTGAGCAACAACACAAGTAAGAGAAATGGGTCTCAGATTCTCAGTGTTGATCAGTTATCCTGGCTTTAGAATAACGGTTACTAGAGACGTTTTCCAGTCTAGTGAGAGTGGCGTTTTTCTGAACCAGATTGCATTGATATATTCAAGAAGCGACTGGTGCGCTGCATCGGGTAGATTTGCCAGCATTTTACCGGTTATTTTGTCTCGCCCGGAAGCCGTACCTCAGCTCATTTTGGCAAGAGCGGCGCGAAGGTCGTGTAACTAGAAAGGAGCATCCAGGGCCGAGATCTCTCTCACTGCATAGCGATACGCGGAGTCTCGCTTGTCCTGCTGAGTGCAAAAATATCGGCCCCGTATTGATAGGGCTAGGTGTGTTGTGGAGCCTTTGAAAATGTGAAAGGCTTGGTGCAGCTGTTTTTGCGTTTTACCTCGCGTTTGAGTGGGATCAATCTTACTGCGGAAGAGTTTCCGTGTATTGCGACTGGATATTTGCCTGCTGGCAGTGTTTCAGCGATCTACCCAATTTTAATCGGCGAGCTGGGCAGCGTTTTCGGCTGCCTTCTGGTTGAGATCCATTATCCGCGTGCGGAGTTTGTGGTTGCATTTTTGTCGGCGCCATCTTTGTGAGGCTTCGACGTGCCTCCCAAAGATGAAGGAGATGGTTATCTACATCCGCATGACTATCCGTGAATTGTATTTTGGTCTTGTGTTTTTTTAGTGTTTCGAGCACAGAGTGAGCCCACTGGGAATGACCGATCTCCTTGATGGGAGAGTCAGGTAAGGACTGCCGGAAGGCTTACCAGTTTCGTAGGTGAGCCTCTGCGATGGGGCGTTGTAGGGGTCGTGTAGAAAATGTAGTGTTGAGAATGCAGCGGTCACTACCGAGGCTTTCCTCAGTATTGAACCAGTCTGCGTGCCTGATGTTTTTCGTGAATGTTAGGTCGGGGCAGGTGTCCTGGCTGACAGAGTTACCTACACGAGTTGGTTGCGTGGGATCTGTTTGAAGAGGCATGCCCAGCATGGAATTCAGCTCCTCAAGTTTCCTTCCATGCGCCTCTTTCTTGCGATAGCCCCAAAGCCTGCTTGGGGCGTTGAAGTCACCCACTATTAAAAGGGAATCATGCCCGGCGAGCTTCAGTGCCCTGCTGAAGATGTCAGCGAATGTGATATTTTTTAGTTTACGTTTGCAATAAATATTAAAGATGTGCACTGGGGGTCGTTTCTGCGCAGGGGAAGAACCGTTATCATAGTGTACGAGTACGGTATTGAAATTTCAAGATCGTCCTCTCGCGTAGTTAAAGTTTTATTACCAAAAAGGGAGGTGAATGGGTGCCGTTGAAAAGTATTATAAGCTGAGAGGCGCCCGGCATTGCCGGGCTCTTGAAGGGCAATGACGGCGCACAGGTGCTTAAATGTTTCAAGATAGAGATGGAAATTGGTCCGTTTGACCCTATCTTTGAAACCTCTACAGTTACATTTATTTAAAGAGAGTAACTGAGGTTTTCGGTGTGACGATGTGGAGCAGTTAAGATGGTCGCCATATTGAGAATTTAGGTTGGCTGGGAGGGACTCTACCCCTACTTCGGCACCCTGCGGCGCCCTGTGCAAGTGGGAGCTCGAAGTCCTCGGAGGTTTCAGCGAGGCTGATGGCTTGCGAAAATCTAAAGGGACTCTTAACGTCCTTCAGAAGATCAGCCCTTGAGCTTCGAGGGTTCACGCCATGGAACGAAGTTTCAATGTTACTCGTCACCTGTTGGGTAACAGTTTGGAAATAGTTTCCAGGCTTTTGCTTATGGCGATGAGTTGTGTCATTAAAACGTTCATAGTACTTTCAATAGCCTGAAATCGCTCTTCCATGTAGAAGACTCCGAGATGGAAAGAATGGTGCACATGGGCATCCGTTCTGGAGCGGAAATGCTAATATGGGTGCGAAACAGCGTGGGGGGGACTGGTGGACTACCTGTCTTCAAGGCGGCGATTTTGAATTCAAGATGCGCGTTCTGTGCCCGCAGCGCAGCAAGCTCTTGTTTGAGCTCGAGGAATTCGGGGGAGGAGGCGCGGAAGGAAGGAAAGAGGATGAGGAGGCAGCCCTCGCCCCGTTGCCTACTTGAGTAGCAGTTTTCTTGTTAGGCCACTTACGGGCGCCGGAGCAGTCAGAGGTGGAACGTCCCCAGATTGGAGCACGGGGGCACACTGGTTAAGTCTTAGGTAGAGGTGGCGCTTGTTGACTGGTCCCTCCAGTAGCAAGGTTGTTCGTGGCTTGGTTGGTGCTCCGGCTGACGTCCTTCTGGCCCGACGCCGATGTCTTGGGCGTTGACCGCTGCTACGACGAGCCGCGACTGCCATGTTGCCCACCCGCTGCTGCAGACGGCGAAGCCTTGCTTTGCAGGCCTGCGATCCGGTGAGGAGTCCCTCACCGCACACCAGGCACGATGGCTTGCACTCGTTGGTGCCATCTCCTCCTCAGAAGCACGCACAACTGGACCACAATGGCCGCTGCGTTGGCCGTTCGGATGTGGACAGCTCCACACGGTGGCCTACCGTACCACAGTGGTAGCAGGCTGGAATGGTGCGGCAGCTTGGGCTAGTTGGCATGGCATGACCATAGTTAGAGCGCGAAAACAAACGATGACACAGAGACAAGAAGGACACGTAGCGCTCGTGCCCTTCGTGTCCTTGTTGTCTCTGTGTCGTCGTTTGTTCTCGCGCTATAACTATCGTCATTGAATGATAGTTTATATTCGCGTACTGGTGTCACAACGCTGTTGTAGTGCACGAAACACGGCACGCAGCGGCCCTCGAAAGTTATAAGGGCCACCGAAGTCCGCCAAGCTTCCTGAAAAAAGCGATGCTTCCACCACGCCAATGGATCTTTGCTTTCAAGGAGGCGAAGGTCTCCTGCTCTGTACCGTAATGACGCCCCGGCACACTTCCCCACTGATCTCGGTGTGGCCGATCATTGGTAGAGGACCTTGTAAAGTTTTTAGTGAGAATTCTCGAGAGAGAAGGTTGGCAGAGTTGATGTTTTGGTTGAGACAACATGATATTGCCACGTTCCATTTCCCAAGTTTTCGTTATCGTCCAAAAACACCACACGATTCTCAGCGCAAACCGCGCCTGCAGTTTTCGAGAAGATTCCGAACTGGAGTAGATCATTTCGATAAGATCACGCCCACCGTGCGAACAGTACAGATTGTTCTGGAACCTACGCCACCACCAGCGATAACGCTAGAACATTCGATGGCAAGAGTATAAATGCCGACGCGCTTCGCCACTTGTCACTTGTTATCGAAGGCCGACGTTCCGTTCGCCGCTATCAGTCCGAGACTGCTATCTGTCAAGACTGCTGCTGTAATTAGACTTTCCGTTTACTGGGCACAGGTTCGCCCAAATAAACAGTTAAATCCCAACACGAAGTCTCCTGTCTTCGGCCACGTCACGACCCCGTGACATCTGGTGGAGGTGCTGCTTCGTTCATGTACCGGACGCCCCCGTCAAGCCGTGAACCAAGCCCACGTCGCGGAGAAGACACCGACGCCAACCAGGAGCAGCGAATAAGCCGCCGACAGCAAGGGCTACCACCGGAGTACGGGCTTCTACAAGACAAGGCGCGGAAGACCAAGGCCATGACCGCGACTGCAGCGACAATGACAACCGCAGCGTCCCAGCCCACGATGGTCATGCATCAACCCAGGGAACCACCAATTTTCCATGGGTCATCGTTCGAACACCCGGAGTCCTGGCTAGAAACATACGACCATGTGGCCGCCCTCACCACTGGGACCATGACGAAAAGCTGCGTCGTGCGTTCTTCTATTTGGAAGACACCGCAAGGACCTGGCTCGAAAATCGAGTCCACGCTCCGAACGTGGGATGTTTTCTGCGGCGCATTCCTGCAAACGTTCGCGAGCGTCCCTCGCAAAGAGAGGGCCGCTGCTTTATTAGAGACCCGGGTTCAGCTACCAAATAAAAATGTCGCCATTTTCACAGAAGAAATGACCCGACTATTCCGTCACGCTGACCCACATGCCTGAGGAGAAAAAAGTTCGTTTCCTCATGCGAGGAGTCAAACAGGAGCTCTTCGCGGGACTGATGAAAACCCACCGAAAACCGTCTAAGAATTTGTAGCCGAAGCGACCACTATCGAAAAGACACTGGGCATGCGCACCAGACAGTATAATCGTCGCCTGACTGCAGACTGCGCTGCTGCTCAAGCCAGTAACTCCGGAGACTTGCGTGAAACGATCCGAGCGATCGTGCGGGAAGAGCTGCGCAAGCTGTTGCCTTCGGCACAGCCTCAATTGGATTCAATCGCCGACATTGTGCGAGAAGAAGTTCGGCAACCGCTTCAAATTCCCCACGCACCGGCTGCCCGAGCCGGAAGCTATGAGCTACGCCGCGGCACTGCGCCACAACGCTCCTCCCCGTCCACGCCAAAACGCCGCCCCATCGCACTTCCGTCGACAGACGCAACCACCGCCACCACCCCCACCGACGTCATACCGTTCGCCAGCGGCCCAGCGCAGTGCACCGAGAAAGACTGACGTCTGGCGCACCCCTGACCATCGCCCGCTCTGCTACCACTGCGGCGAGGCCGGACACACATACCGCCGTTGCCAGTACCGACAGATGGGACTGCGTGGCTTCGCCGTCAATGCACCGCGTCCACAGCCAGGAACGACCACGTGACATCGCCGACTACCTGACGGGAACTCGGTGGACACCACGAAGCCCTTCGCATTC